ATAGAGAGATAGAAACATCGATGAGAGAGAAACATCGACCAGCTGCCTCCTGCACACCCCCTACTGGCGATGTGCCCACAACCAAGGTACATGCCCTTGACCGGAATCGAACCTGGGACCTTTCAGTCCACAGGCCGACGCTCTATCCACTGAGCCAAACCGCTTAGGGCCGTGGCTTGATTTTAACAGAGGGCTCTGTTTTGATTCACAGGGTTGCACTGAGGACAAGACTCAAAAGGACTACTCTGTTCTTTATTTTTTTAAAAAAAAAATATGTTTTTATTGATTTTAGAAAGAGAGAAAGGGAGGGAGAGAGAGAGAAAGAGAGAGAGAGAGAGAAACAACTATGCTGAGAGAGAATCATGACAAGACTCAAAAGGACTACTCTGTTCTTTATTTTTTTAAAAAAAAAATATGTTTTTATTGATTTTAGAAAGAGAGAAAGGGAGGGAGAGAGAGAGAAAGAGAGAGAGAGAGAAACAGCTATGCTGAGAGAGAATCATCGATCGGCTGCCTCCTGCACGCCCCCTACTGGGGATGGAGCCCACAACCCAGACCTGTGCCCTGACCGGGAATCGAACCGTGACCTCCTGGTTCATAGGTCGATGCTCAACCACTGAGCCACGCCGGCCGGGCCGGAAGAACACCTGTTGGAGAGCGAGCTACATCTGACGGGAGAGATGCCACCAGGATCCCTGGGTGCGGAGGGTGCCGAGTGCCCGTGGGGCGCTTGCATCAGCGCGGAAGTGGTCAGGGCGTGGATGCCAGCCAAGGCCAGTGGCTTCCCACGTGCGTAGAGCCCGTGTCTGAGGACGAGCCCATGAAAGCGAGTCTTTGAGAGACGGCAGCAGGTGCAGGTGGCTTCCTGGTCTACCCCACGCCCACAGGACCCATGATTTGGGACCAAATCCGCGGGCTCATGCCAGCCACAGGCGGCGGCTCAAGAGCAGCTCGCCGGAGACCCAGTTGGTGCAAGGGGGCGGGCCTGCGGGTGGGCGCGGCCAGCCCCGTCTCCGCAGGAAACTGGGCCCACGGGGCTGGTAGCTCCGGCGTCCTTGCCAAAGACCCTGCTTTCCAAACACGCGGCAGGAAATTGATACTTAGGCCCGACGACGGGCCAATTTAGAGAGAAAACTGTCAACACCATCCTGCAATCCGGCCGGCCGGCGTGGCTCGGTGGTTGAGTGTCCACCGAGGAGCCAGGAGGTCAGGGTTCGATTCCCCGTCAGGGCACTTGCCAGGGCTGCGGGCTCCATTCCCAGGAGGGGGCGTGCAGGAGGCGGACGATCCATGATTCTCTCTCATCACGGATGTTTCTCTCTCACTCCCTTCCTCTCCGGAATCAATAAAAACGTATTTCAAAAAAAAATTTTTGTTTTTAATTACAAAAAAAATAAATTCTCTAAGCTGGCACTGTTTTCCATGAGATTCGCTGGACTTGCCACCCGTGAAATCCTGAGACGAGCTAAAAGGAGGAGGAGGTGACTGTCGGAGATTTCACGGGCCCAGGGTCACGGGACCATCTGGCACAAAACGGGGTTTTGTTTTCTATTGAGTTTCAAACAACAAAACCCCTCGTACGTCTCCAGGGCTGGGGATCAGACCTGCAGCCGAGGTCACAGGCCCATGACCGGGCACGAAACCCAGGGCCCTTTCGGCGCGCGGGCCGACGCTCTAACCACGGAGCCACGACAGCCAGGGCCCGAGATCTCAGATGGTCCGACATCATCTCATAGGAATGACAGACGGGCGGCATCAACGGCTCCCCCGGGGGAAGCGCCAGCCCTCATTTACAGCTTAAAATTAGCTCGGTTTTGGGGAGGCGCCGCCTGTCATCACGAGGGGGCGCCGGGTGATGGAGAGGGTGGCGGGAGCGGAGTCCCGGGGAGATGAGACGGGTTTATGGGCCTGGAGGGCAGCAGCCGCGTGACGCGGACACGCCTGGGTCTTCCGGAGGCGCTGGGCTCGGCCCGAACCAGGTTGGGCGGTGAAGGACTCGCCGCGGGGCGGGTAGGGGGGAGGCCTGAGCTGTGGAAGGAGGGTCCCTGGGTTGGGGACCTTCTAAGACAGCGGTTCTCAACCTGTGGGTCGTCACCCCTTTGGCGGTCGAACGACCCTTTCCCAGGGGTCGCTTAAGACCATCCTGCATATCAGATATTTACATGACGATTCAT